TGCTCAAGCCAGAAACAGCCCGACGCCAATCCTCATTCCAGATGTGCGAACCGCAACTACTGTTGGTCCTAAACATCCTGAGGGCAAGACCATGCCGGCTATGAGTAGTGCTGTTCAGCTCCGGTGCACAGTGACTTAGTGTTCGAGGACATGAAATACAAATATCTATGTATATATATATACCCATACATATGAAAAACTTTACATAATATGTGTACATGTATGCAAAAAACTAATACATGAGTTTGCAACGTGTATGCATATAGATATATGTATATATATATATACATATGTATGTATATGGAGCCATTGGTTGCCATATCCTTGACCCAGTGGTACCTTGAAGCTGCGATGTCTGGCTGGAGTACCCGGTGGTTCACACTTACAGCACCGTCCTCGACCATCTTTCCTGCGGCGCTCGTACAGCACCGCCACTTGGCGGCAATGTGCGACAAGCAAGAGCAATCTAGGAAGCAGGGAGCACCGTTTGAGCTTGGTCCAGTATATATATATATACATATATATATATAGCCCTACTGAGCTACACACAATAGTCTTAGGCCATTAGGGCACAAGATCTGAATCATCCATTCCCGAGATCTCCAGTCCCTTAAACCGGAAGCTCCTGAAGTGCCCCTACTTGGACGCCAGCTATGCGGCCATGCGGGCTCACAACGACGAGCGTTCAGCCTTGATCCTGGCAATGCAGGCTTTTGAAGGAGACTTTCAGTGTTTATTTTCGGCGTGGATGCCTCGAGCGAATCTGGGAATGTTTTCGACATCAAGGTTTTGACGGGGTTCCAAAGGAGCGTTCTGGAACTACTTTATGGAGCAGGTCGGTGCCAAAACCTAAGTCACGGCTTCAAGAGCTTGCAACGTCAAAATACTCTTCTCTTCATCGCTGTATACTAAAACCAAATTTGTACGGAAGATAAGGTAACTTCGTCAACCTGCTGCAGTCTGCGCTTGGGCTCGAGGTGCTTGCACGTAGGCTCCTTGTAACTTGATTGGGAAAGTCTTGGGCCAGTGACCCTCGAAGAGCAATGACTAGTTGCCTAAACGACCTTACCATCGTCTTGACAAGAATGACCATGGTGATTGTGATGATGGTGATCAGTGATCATTGATCATGATGTTGGTGCTTTTACTGAATATTGTCATCCTCTTCATCGGCGTCATGATCATCGTCATAAGAGTCGCCACCCTCATTATCACAGGCACTTGCTGGTGCCTCTGCACTTCGGCTGAGATCTTCGACTGAGCTGTGACGGCCTGCTCCATGGCCTGGAAAGCATGGAAAAGCGTTCCAACACCTTATTGCTTAGAAGAGGGCTTAGGGGTACATGTTTACTTGAAGGATACTTCCAACCCTATATAGGGAATAGTATTGGTATTCATTCCGGCTTCTATCTTCGATGTTAGAGCTTAGGCATGTAGAGGTAGGACTCAGTGCTGCAGTTGTTTACTCACTAGCGGCCTGGTCATCGTTGTAAGCTCTCTCATTAGACGTCTGAATGAACTCATAATCATACCCCCTTATGCATTGTAGTCCGTATGCGGATCTGTCTTCAGTTTGAGACCTCAAGGAGCCCCGCACAGGCTCGAGGCGCGCGGTTTCGGAGGTCTGAAGAAGGTAAGTCGTATATACATATATATATATACACACACAAGATTTAGAGTTTTCCTGATTCCGACGATATACCCCGATACTTCTGGCGCAGTCCACTACAGTACACCTTACATCATCCCATGACCGAGCATGGTCCCTGATCCTGTACCCTAAACCCCAAACCCGAATTCCGATAGTCCCATGCTTGGACGGTTCACGAAAAACCTCAGGGCCACCTGTGCCTACAAGTTTTCTTTCAGGGCCTTGGGATACTTTCGGCTTGTTCGGGCATTTGGGTGTTGGTGCTTTTGGGCTTGGTTCGAGGGCGGGGTGTTGAGTCCTTTTGCAATCTTTTTGAGGACTCTCCTAGCCTTGTCTACTTGCAAAGTGTTGGAGCGAACACCCTAAACCCGCATTGCACCAAACTTTACGACAGACCTAAGCCCCTGAACCGCCAAAACTAACTCCAACACCCCGATGCGACACCCAAAACTCCTAATGCCCCAGACTCAAAAACCCTCAACCATCCAAGACTGCTGGACGCGAACAAAGAACTCCACTACACCCGACACCCTGAACTCAGGATTTCTCTCTTTCTTTCCTGTTGCAGCTGTCTGAGACCGGCCATTTACGATCGGCTCGAGCTCTCAGAATTTCCTTCTCAGCTTTACGGTTCGGGACTTGGGAGCTTACGGATTAAGGGCTTCGGGTTTATCACTGAGGTTTCGGGAGTTTGGGGCTAGCAGTGAAGGGTTTTGGAGTTTCCGGCTGTTGATGTTAGGGTTAACAAGCCTTCGGATTCAGGAGCTGGGGCTGTTGGGAGTCTCGGAGTTTGGGATTTGGGGCTATTCACCATTGACTTGACAGTTCGGTTCGAGGTTCAGGCTTCGGGATCCACTTATCGCTAGTCTGCGCGGATGCTTGCTCGGGGAATTTCACCCGCGAAACTCATCTATGTGTACCGCCCTTATGGGAGGCACCCGAGCTGCCTGTACCCTGGCTCACGCGCTTGTGATTGCCTCTGCTGCGATCGCCAGGCCCAGAACAGCCCAAGATGTGAGAAACACCGCCCAGGGCACCTCAGGTCAGGTTCGGCTGCCATTGGACCCACTCGGCGGCTAGCTGCTTGCTTCTTCTAGTGATTTTCTTCTGGCCGTGCGGGCACAAGAGAACGATCGATAAGGCTTATGTGGCATGTATGGCCCAAGGTCCCACTTGCCGGGGCGGGATTTTATTTGTGCGACTGCGATGCTCCGCTTTTGTGCCGTCCTTGAGCTCCAAACTTTTGCAAGCATCTCGCCGGGTTCAGTGCTGTGTTCTTAACATGTACGTTTTGTACATAGCAGCTGCTTGTCACAAAACCGTCCTACACACCCGTTTGTCGCTGTAAAGCCGGGTGACCGAAGTGCTAAGCGTCAGAATGCCATATAGCCGAAAGCCTCAAACCGAAAATTCCTTCATCCCTATGGACCCTTCAATTCTCCATCCGAAAGTTTCCGGGGCCTCAGATCCACTTGGCGATTCGGCTTCTTCTGCCACCGGAGGATGAGCAGCACTTCCAGGTGATAGAGGCGGCCCAAGAGCTAGTCGTGCGGGAAGAATGGAACGCAAATAAGTCACAGAAGACCTGATCTGCACAGCCGGCTTTACATAATTCTACAAGTCCTTTGGTGATTATATATTACATGTTCAATAATATGTCAAGTCAAGCACGACTCACTGGCACCTCGGGTACCATCTCCCGACACTTAAACCCAAAAATCCCTAAACCCTGAATTAAACTCCCAAACTGTCCACAGTAACACGCGAATTCGGAATTCTCCGAGACGTGGCCTTGAGGGACCCTGGAGCCCAAAATCAAGCTTTCTTAGCTTAATGCTTTTAGGGCTTCGGGACTGCATTCTAGGCTCTATGCTGCCAGGGTTTAGGCTCAGGGGTTTGGGGGGTTCCGGAAACACATTCCTTAGTTGCGGAATGGCTCAACGTTTGTTGTAGAATCTAAACCCTAAGGCAAGTACCGTTGCAAAGGGATGGGTTGGGGTTGCTGGGCAGGGAGTGGAAGGCGTCTCAATCAAGATGCAAAAATACCGAAGGCCCTGATCCCGGAGCACCACCCTGAACCCCGAAGCTTCGTGGAGGGGCTTCGGGCCAGGGATATGGCCAAGCCACACTGAAGATCGAGCAGTGCTTGTCGGACGGATGCTGGAAACTTGCGAAAGCAGGTCATAGTCATCATCTAAGAGCCTCAGGCTCGAGGCTTGAGGCTTGGGGGAAGGCTCAGTTGATGGCTTGGGGCTTGGGATGGTACCGGAGGTTGAAGTTAGGACGTAGCTCTTGCAGCTGAAGGATGTGGAGAGAATGGAAGCTTGGCTGATCTAAGCTTCATCAGGAGGAGAAAAAAAGCACATTCCCAGACTTGGCAACTTTATTGGAGATGTGCCGGACACCGCCGAGAAACCCTAGCGTGGCAGAGTCAGCTTCAGATGGGTCGGGCACATCCACCATGGAGAGGATGTGACTCAACACAGTAGACGGCAGTAAGCCATGCACCTGGCAATGAGCTGCCCAAACCAGCTGCCCGATCAGCTGCTGCTTCACAAGCTGCCTCCAAGATGCCCAGTCCCCAGCTACCGGACCGGAGGGTTTTGGGTCTTTAAGACGTTCAGGGACGTTTTGGAGTCAGGGCTTATAGGGTTTGGGGTCGCCTTACCTCCCACCCTGGCACTTGCGGATGCTCACCCCCATTCTGCATAACCCCAGATCTCCTACCACACGACCGAAGCCTGCGCTGCAACACTAGAAGAGCTCGAAGCTTAGCATCGCCATCAACGTTGAAGACAGGAAGGCTTGCCACAGCGTCTGGACCCCCGGGTCCGTCCAGGGAGTTGAAACTTCGCCGGTTGCATTCGTCAAGGCAGGAGGACGTGAGAGGCATCATCTTCCGCTTCAACAACCATATCCGAGTGTGCAGGTACAAAAAGGATGCTGCTATGCAGAAAAAACATCGCTGCATAAAAAAGCTGAGCCCGACGGGTGACACGGTAGTCATTTGCAAATGCCAGAGTCTTGCACCCACAAGAATGCTGTAGCAACCCCAAAGCAAAAGAAGCTCCCTTGCTGAATCCAGTAGTGGCAAGTACATGAAAGCAAAGGCTGCCACTTGAATGAAAGTATTGGCAACATCTTGAGACGTACCAAAGAACAAAAGCGGCCATCCTGACAGAAGCATCGGGAGCCAGGATAGGACCACCAGGATCTCGTTGCTTCGCCTTGAGTCCTCCAGGTAGTGTGTCACACTCTGCAAGGAATTTGCCCAATGCATCCATATTCCGACAATGATGAGGAAAATTGAAGCGCCGCAGTGCAGCAGGAAAATTGCTCGAAAACCCATCGGCGAATCGCTTGCACCTGGGATCTGATGGTTCGGGAAGAAGGTGGGTTGAAGTCTGGGCATTAGGTCCTTAGGTTTACTACCGTCTCTTGCATGGAAGGTGCCAAGCGAAACTACAGCGACCATGTCTGCAGCGAAAGCAATAGGTAGAACCCTGGAAACCAGCAACCTGCAAAAACAACAAACAAAAACAATGCTCTAGTGCACACCCCAATCCCTGCAGCATCCAAGAAGCAAATCGAGTGACACAGGAGCAGTGCACAAACCGCTGGTACACAGCCCAACATCATCTCCAGCCTGACCTGAGTGTACTTGAACGGCTTAGGGACGGAACAGGGCTACAGAACAGGGCTACAGGACTTGGGTATCAAAGTAGCACTAAGGTATATCGACGACAAACAGGTATAGAGTAATTCCGAGTTGGCGTGCATCGGCTGGCTCATTTGGGCCTAAGCCTGGCAGCGGAGTATTTTGGGAGCCCACAAGGTTCAGAAGCTGAACAAACCAGCCGCTGTTCGAGCCACCGGCAAACCACCCAAACTCTACTTTGCATCATGCCCCAATAACATGCCCTCCGGCCAAAATGCGCAGCCGGCCTCGGGGAAAAAAGGCATGTTTTCTGACCCCGAGACTGCTTCTGAAAGACCCAAGGCTGGACAGCTTGCAGTTGCAAAATTTTACCATCATGTCGAGGACTGCTGTTCCATTGCAGGCCCAATGTGCATGCTTGCAGACACTCGGTACAACACACACTTTGATGTTTCGTATCTCACCATCGAGCTGCATTAATGTGTTCGAAAGACTATTCGAATCTACACAGGTGCCTGCACTTATCCTTATGATGTCAACTGTTTGAGACAAACCGCCCAGTCCATGTGTAATCACACGCCCACGTATACAACTGATAGGCATATGTACCTAACCATGGAAGGTCAACCCTTCATGAAGCCAGATGTCGCAGCTATCTGTCTGTTGATTGCGATTGCTACATGATGATGTGGCGATGTTGCAGTCTACTCCTGCTGGATCATAGACCTCGACCCCCGTGTGAAGCACCCAAAACATCAATCACTGGCCAAAGCTGTAAACCCTCTGTCGTCCAACACACATCAAAGCTCAGGCGACTGCCTGATGGCGGACCCCAGCACTACAGTGCGGACGCCACAGCTCCAAGGGCGTCATTGGTGTCGGGGTGAGTGCTTTCAGTGTATGCATGAGAGTCTTGAAACCCAGGGAGCCGAAACCAAAACACTAGCTCAAACCTGTCGCCTGTCGTAGTAGAACGTTGGCTTCGGAGCACTGATGACTCATCTTCCTTCCAGCTGGTTCTTGGGATCTTTGGTCTTTTGGATTCTCACTGCTTGAAGTTTGCGACCTGGAGCCAGAAAATCGGAGTGCGAATGTGGCGGCTGCCAACGGGCTTCTAGCCCCTACGCACGAGAGACTGAAGCCTAACTCCCGTGCGCCGTGAGCCCAATACCCTCAACGCCCCAAGCCTTAACAACCTACAGCATTTAATTAGCTCGAAGAACCTAAACTTCAAGGTTGGATGCGCCCCTCGTCGGAAACCATCAGTTCTGTATCATCATCCAAGCAGGTTGCTCACAAAATGATTGAACTTTGCAACGTGCTAGACAGACCTACCAGGATTTCGCGGTTGAGGGTGGCAAGAATACATTGTCTGTACTCTCTGTAGCCTAAAGTTGCCATCGTTTGAAGTACTTTGCAGGTCTAGACACTGAACCCCAACACACTGCGCCTAAAATCCAAATCCCTCGCCCCAACAGGCAGTGGACCAAAGGATAGAAACAGACCCACCACATTCTAGCAACCACCATGGAAGGCCCTGATGGGTCATATTATAAAGTAGCGATAATCCGGAAACCATAGAGAATTCTGTCCATAAGATCTTGTACTGTACTAGAAGATCCCTTGATGCTGGTGGGTCTGCAAACCTTGCCTGGTCGGCAAGGTTCTGAGACCTCCGCGCCTCGTCAGGGAATGGAGCGGCAATGAATGTGTGCTTCGGGCTCTACGGTTTAGGGTTTCGGATATGGGGTTCACAGTTTCGGATTGAAGCTGTTCGGAAAGGTTAGGGTGAGGGATGCGGGGTTCGAAAGAAACTTTAGTGTGTGCCTTGCGGGCTCTGGGTTCAGGGACACGCTCCTGGGTCGTGAAGTGTACAGACGGCTTGCAAATTGTATCGGCTGAAGGTGCCTGAATTCAAAAAAACTTTGCCACGCGTGAACCCAGACAAACAACATTCTACATGATCAAGCACCATGAAAACCAACTTCTGCTGCACCAGACCACGCAGAAACACTTTGCTGAAGGTGATGCTGATGATGTCTATGATGATGAAGACGGTCCGATGGTTGTAAGGCCTACGAGCCTGAAGCCCTCACTATAAGCCCCACACCCTAGAAACCCAAAGCCGGTTCTGGGTCTTGTTGGGTGTGATGTTTCAGGGTTTAAGGCTCCAAAGCTTTAGGGATGTAGGGTTGTGGAGCTTTGGAGCTTGCAGGGTTTCTCGCGGTCTTGCCTCTTCCTCTGCAGACGCGACCTCTTGGCTCATCATTTTCACCTCCAGAGCCAGCGGGTGCATGGCTTGAGGGCAGGTTAAGCCATCAGCCCTCAGCCATTGAGGGCTTCGGGGTATTGAGGGTTGAGGGCTTCTGGGCTTAATTAGTGCAGGGATCTTACAGGGCCAAGCTCGGAACAGAATCACAAAATGAGAACATGTTAGGCACTCTTGTGTGCTCTGTGGCATCCCAAGGTTGTCCATGGGCTTTCCGTTTCAGATTAATCATTTCGCAACACTATGGCTGCAGCTGCAAGATTTCCAACGGCAACTCCACCTGCGAAAGTAGCATGCCGCCAACAACCCAAACAACGACACCATTGCTGAGGACTGCATCGAAGGATTCAGGTGCAGAGCCTCACTCCTGAACCTAGACGCCTTGAACATGTTTCGGTAAACCTGTTGATATGATTATATAGGACCGTCAGGGAATATTACTGCCAACTAATTATTCAGACCCCGACATTTCATCAGGCCGCCACAGCCCTCCCAGCCAAGTTCTTGATGATGGGACGCTTAGGCTCTGAATGCCGGGTCCCTAGACAAAGAACTGGGCTCTAGTTCAGCAGCAGGGCTAGTCTCTTTTGTAGTGGGTGCGCTTTTGATGCGAGTTTGGGTCAACTAACCTGCCTAGGATTCATGATGACAGCGGTCCGATGAGGATGACCACCAGCAACACACCGTCATATCATCTCATCATCGCCACTACAGCAGATGAACCTGGCTCTCATGGTGCAGTCTGGATGCTCTAACTGTTCTGGAGATACTGGTTATTGTACTGTCGCATGAGGGCGTTTAGAACTGATCTTCATTTTATGGCGTTTTTGAGAGTCGAAGCAACCGACCCCAAGCAGTAGCCTCCTTACTGCAATCACTTCCAAACAACACTCGAGAGTCACCATGTGAACGGGAAATGTCGAGCTTTTTTCTGTTTTCCTCTCAGGAAGCTCAGAAGAGGGTCACCACGCCAGATCGGACGACCTCACGAGAAGAGCAGGAAATTCAGCATGGGTCTTAACCAGCTCGCGTAGGTTGTATCGGATTGTGTCGCCATCAGGGGCTGGAGCCTGAGTCTGTCCGCAGCATTTAGGTGGAAGTCAGGGCCGGAAATGCCGTGGTACGAAGCGCTCCCCCCCCTCATGCTGAAATTGGAGCCTCCATGCTCCGTCATATTGTTGCGGGGTTCCTATAGGACGGTAGCAAAAAGGATGCGGTGCACCGCATGCGACCAAACATGGCTCTACCCGATTAAACCACCTAGGCCACCGCAGCACGGCGTGAGAGCCCCTAGCTGGAGCCGGAGCTGTTAGGATCACTTGGTTTGCAGACTGTGTAGACCTGACGAGGGCACACACTCAATGTGCCCGTTTCAATATGCACCCTTATACAGCCGTATCGGCCTGACGGAGACAAGAACCCTACTGAATGTCAGGCGGCCAAGGGGCTCAGTGCCCACAACAAGATTGCAGCAAACCCTCAAGTTGCGGGCAGGAGGCTGGCGTAAAGCTCATTCCTGGAACAAGGCTTACAAGGTTTATACGGCCTAGGGCCTAGGGTTCATGTAAGCTCTAGCGTTGTCTCAGCAGCACTGGGCGCGGAAAGATGGGGTCGGATCTACTTTGGGTTTTGGCTTATTGGGTTTGGGTGTTGAAGCTTTGGGGCTAAAACAAAAATCTACCTATGGGACCCTATGGCTTCTCTTACGAGATGCCGACCTTAAATCCGAAGTTCGGGACTTCTTGCACCTGTTTCGGGCTGTTCTAGACACCCGGCCCTGCGTATATATCTTCGTTGCAGTCATTGGTAGGGCTGAGACTTTCCAGCGACTCTCACCTATGCATCTAGCGTAGTAGTGTAGGGACGCCAATAGCTATACTCAAAAGCTCTTACTTTCTTCTTAACCTACTGAGTCACGCAACCCGAAGCCCCAAATCCTAAAGCCCTAAATCCGAAAGCTCGCATTTCAAGCCTACAGCCCGCGGCAAAACCCCAAGTCCCTATTACCAGCTCATCCGGGTTGGGGTTTGGCCCTTTCAGGCCCTAAATGGCATCCTGAGAATCTCAAACCATCGGAAGACAGGTTGTGGCGCATATTAGAGACTAATTAGGCTTTGAGATATCCCTCTCTCCCTCTACGTTGCCGTGTTTTGGTTGCTTTTGCATGGGGGTTGAGCTTGGGCTTGGGGCGATGGGTGTGTGCGCTAAGCGTGCATTTCGGCGGGGCTTTCCTCTCCTTACGATTTACGACGTATGGTTCAGTTGAAGCGTCTTGGGTGAAGGGTACACCCTGGAGTTCCGTAGGCCCCCAAAACAGCCTCCGATCTTTCCCATCCCCTCTGGGCCTTGCTTCCGCCGCCGTCTGCAGGCTTGGGATCGTCCTTCCACTACTCAAGGATCAGGAAAGGGGATCCAGGAACAT